GGGGAGAGCAGGAGGAGCAATGGGAGGAGGAAGAGCGGGAGGAGCAGCAGGAGGGCGAACGGGAGAAGGACGATCCACCATCTGTTGTTGTTAAGCGGTGTAAAAGGCGAGAGAGAGAGAGAGAGAGAGAGAGAGAGAGAGAGAGAGAGAGAGAGAGAGAGAGTTTTCCATCGATAGGATGAGCAACGCACCGACCAACAGGTAAGTCTCCAACCCCGCGACTGGCATCACGCTACTTCCATCGATAGGATGAGCAAAATCGAATGAATCTTCCGCTACAACATTGAAATATACACTACCACTGGCAGTGTATATTTCCATTTTCTACCGGTAGATTCGTTCGATTTTGCCCATCCTATCGATGGAAGTACCCTCTCTCTCTCTCTCTCACACACACACACGTACGTGTAGCAGGAGCGGCAGCGGGAGGAAGACCAGGGGCGGAAGGAGGAAGAGCGGGAGGAGCAGCAGGAGGGAGAGCTGAACAAGGACGATCCGTCATCTGTTGTCGTTAAGCGGTGTGAAACGGAGGACGAGCGCGCGCGCGCGCGCGCGCGAGAGAGAGAGAGAGAGAGAGAGAGAGAGAGAGAGAGAGAGAGAGAGAGCTTCAGGCCATCCGCGCAGATTGCCGATGCGGAGGAGGAGGTCGGAGGAGGCAGTCGGGATCGGGGGAGAGAGGTGGGGATCGATGGAGGGAAGCCGAGATCGGGGGAGAGGTGGGGATCGCGAAGTGGGGGGAGGGACGCTGGGATCCGGAAGAAAGTCGGGGAAGGGAGGTCGGCGGAGCGAGGTAGGCAAAGGGAAGTCGGAGTAGGGACTCGGAGTAGGGAGGTCGGGGGAGGGAGGGGAGTCAGGATGGGAAGGGAAGTCCTGGGAGGGGGGTCGGTGCAGCGAGGGAAGTTGGGATGGGAAGTGGGGTCGGGGGAAGGGGGTTGGGTAATGGAGGTCGGCGGAGGCAAGTTGGGACAGGGAAGTCGGGGCAGGGAAAGGCCAATGGGGGCAAGGGGCAGGGTAACGCGCGGACTCACGGAGCGAAGTATCAGTTAGGGAGGGAGGGGACGAACCGCTGTGGGGGAATCCAAGGCGGAGCGAACGGAAGGCGGGTGCGGACGGTCTCCGTGGGTGGGACGTGGGACACGATTGATGCGTGTCGATGCATGGCTATGGCGAACGTACGCAGAAGAGGGGCGGGGCGAAGAGGGCGGAGGGGAAGTCGGGATGAAGAAACGGGATCAGAGAGGGAAGTCGAGATCGGAAGACAGAGGTGGGGATCGATAAGGGGAAGTGGGGAGAAGGAAGCCGGGATGGGGAGGGAAGTCGCCGGAGGGAGGTCGGGGGAGGGAGGTCAGAGGAGGGAGTCGGGATCGGGGGAGAGAGGTGGGGATCGGTGGAGGGAAGCCGGAATCGGGGGTGAGGTGGGGATCGGTGGAAAGAAGCCGGAATCGGGGGTGAGGTGGGGATCGGAAAGTAGGGGAAGGGACCGTGGGATCCGGAAGGAAGTCGGGAAAGGGAGGTTGCGGAGCGAGGTAGGCAAAGGGAAGTCCGAAGTCGGAGTAGGGACTCGGAGTAGGGAGGTCGGGGGAGGGAGGGGCGAGGCCGGGGTTTGGAAACTAC